CAGCAAAATACAAACTAAGATTACAAAAACTAATGTCTTGAATGCATATATAAGCACGCATATATAAAGATAAACATAAAACTATTTTTGGCCCTCAGACGCACACACATAAATAAATACATACCCATACTTATAATACATAAACACACACACAAACAGAGATTTATAAAAAAATATATATATAAACAAATATTAAGCAATACAGTGTGTAACACTGATGATGGCTTACTGATCCTAATAAACTACATATAGTTTAATAATGTCAATGTTTGATACCATTTATTTAAAGTTTATTTAAATATCTAATCAATGTTAACAATGTTTAATATATATTCATTAATGCCATATCTTTATTTAGTTATTTAGTATGCAATAAGTTTTGCTTATGCTTACTGTTTAATAAAATCATTTTATCAAAGAATTTAAATGTCTTTTCTTAAATTTTTTGAAGGAACTTGAAAAATGTATTTATCCATACATACAAATCTCTCTCTCTCTCTCTCTCTCTCTCTCTCTCTCTCTATTTATTCATACTATGATGTCTGTGTGATTACCCCATAGTTTAAGAGATATTATACTAAACTAATCACTACTCACTATCATGTTTAACTATCAACTTATGTCATCTTTTATATTTTATAATCTAAAACTCATATTTTTCAATAGTCAATTTTTAAACATTCAAACAAAAATTTAAAATAAGCCATTAATTCCATTGATTCAATAAAATAAATTAGATGAAAAACATTTCACACTGATTAATTAATTAAATGAATTAGTAAAATTTTCACAAACATCATTCTCTGAGGTTTCTTTAGAAACCTTTTCAGAACCTTTGGCCACTGATTTGTCTTTATCTTTACTAGAGGACTAAATTTAAAAATTACAAAAAATACTATAAATTACAAAAAAAATATCATTTAAAAATTATTTTTTAAAGAAATTTAAGAGCAGAACATTGTAGAACAATTTTTTATTTTAAACACAAATTTTTATGATAAACACCTGTCTATGATCATGAGATTTTATTAAAAAATTCAGTAAAAATAACCAAATGAACCCAAAAAACTGTAAAAAAAAAAGCTATTCATAAAGAAAGGTTTTTATAATTTATAAATTTGATTTCAAAAAAATGTACTAACTTTATCCTTCTTACCAAGTCTCGGAATGGTAGGCATATTGGCTTACTTACTTATTTATTCCAATTTTTCAATCAGGTAGTGTCGTGAAATTGAAAAAAAAACTTGTCTTGATGCTGCAAATAGAGTGCAATTGCAATACTAATTCCAATGTTATAATTATATTTTCAGAGATCTCTTCTTAATAAAATGTTTTTGATATTTATTTATTTATTATTAAATTAATTTATTTTGTTAATCGAACAATTATTTAACGATTTATTATTATTTTTAAATAAAACTCAGCGAAACCATTTAAAAATTAAGTCAAAGTTAGAACTTTAGATTTTTAGAAGGACCATGTAAACACAGCATGGCTGCTTAAAAGGCATAATTTTAACTTTATTAAAAAATTATTTATTTATTTGTTTAACAAAAATTTTTTTTTTAAATAATATAATTTTTATCTATTAATAAATTTAAATTTTGCAGTTTAAATGTCAATTAAGCAGAAACCTTTACCAATTTTAACTATCATCGATTGTAGAACATCAAACTAATTGGACCAGCAGATGATTATATGTACAGCGACCTGGTACAAAAAGCTGGGCGGGGTTAGGTCTTCGATGTCATTCTTGTAAAGCAAACATTAACTAACGAGAATATGATATGCCTTATGGTATGATATGTCTTTGAATTTCAGACACACACTTCTACCGTCTAGCAAGTAAGCTAACTTGGTACCTGCTTTCTATATCCACGCCATACCTATCTATCTATCCATCTATCTATCGCTCAATATCAATCCCACCAATACCAAGTAGTGGTATTGGTTAGTATGTATGGTGTGAAACGCTTTTTAGTTTTTTCATTCAAAATTTTTGAAGTTTTGTCCAGAATTTTACGGACTTGAACTCATTGATATGTTATTGTTTAAATTTACTTTTAGGCATGAGGCAAAAATTTGTTCCTATAGCAACGCACGTGCGACGATGGTGAAAACACAAAAATCATCCGAGTTGCGAAAAATTAGGGATTTACGTGAGAATCTGTCGGCAGGTTGTTGGGGATAGTCGGAAATAAAAAGTAAAAATGAATGAATTAAAGCACGGTTTTAGATCATTTTACTTCAATCCCATGTTGCTAACAACGTCTCCAAGTGCACATACCCAATTGGAAGTGCAGTGCTACACTGAAGTATCGGAATAATGACAAAAATAGGCTTGCCTTTTGTATGTTAGTGTGTGTATGTGTGTGTGTGTGTGTGTGGGTGTGTGTGTGTGATGTGTGTGTGTGTGTGTGTGTGTGTGTGTGTGTTTATTAGCGTTTGCTATTGTATTTTAGGCAAGTTTGTTTTTTAATTTGCGTTATATTTGTGTCAAATTTCAACGCTTTTGTTTTTCCATCCCTCTTTCGTTTTTCCATAGCTTTTCATCGTCATACAAACATACGTACATAGACATACAGACACACATATAGACACATACATACACTCATATATACATATGAATGCCTACACGCATAGGTAAAAACATTTATAATAGGAAGCTTGCATAAGAACAGCCCAACTAGATGCCACCGTAAAACACATGTCGATGGAAAATTACGGAATAGAAGATTGACAAAATAGATGATGAAGGGGTGAATTCATGAACGAATAAATGAATGAGTGGATGAATGAATGAATCAATCATTTTGTGAAAATGGTTTTATTCCGTGAAGGATAAAATGGTTATCAAAATTTCTTATAAAATCCCGGCAAGTTTGTTAGAATTTATTTACACATAATTACAGTTGATATTATTTCTTTGCTTTTTCGCATAAATAATATAAATTTTATTTCTAAATATTTAGTTGAGCAGTTTTGTTCGTTTGATGAAAATTTTTAAAGATGATAACGCTACAAATCATAGTCGCTGTTCTTTCATTAACATGTTTGTTTAAAGGTATGTATGTATATTTGTGTGTGTGTGTATGTGTGTGTGTGTATGTGTGCGTGTGTGTGTATACATAGTGTCATGTCCGTGTGTGAGTGTATATGTAATTATTATTTTTTTTTGTTTTGCCTATTGTCCACAAAATTCTAGCTTCGTGTGTAGAGACAACTACGACTGACAAGAATGACGTCGTTACGTCACAACAGCAACAACAACAGCAACAACAACAGCAACAACAACAGCAACAACAACAGCTGTCGGCTTGGACTTGTAGGGAAAGATTGAACGAGATAACAAGAGTTGCTAAAATTTGCATCCAGTTTTATGTTAGCTATAAGTGTAATATTTGTTCATTAGTTCGTTCATTCATTCGTTCATTCATTCATTCATTCATTCACCAGGAAAAGATGTTTG